CAAAACAAATCCTTTCTTTATTGTACTAACCAATTACCGCAACTCGCGAGATGCCTAGTTGCCATGCAACCAGTAGTCTAGCAAACTTTCCACAAGCTGTCATTCATAATTTAGGAATGACAACCCAGGGGGCGCAGTTTTACCATTCTTAACCCTCTGGAGTCTAAGGGTATTTTCTCGATTTTTAGATGTTTTCTTAAATCACCTTTTAAATGTATTTCTTCTAACATGGCACCCCATGTGTTAAATATCAAAATGTTCAGGACAATCTCTGGTCTCGCTATATATGCATATTGCTCACCTTAGAGCACTGTTTGATGAGATAAGTAGCTCAAAAGCTTAAAATGTGAAATCTGATTTTTGGAAAATCTTCAAAACTCTTGTGAAAACACAAATTTACTCATGTGATCGAATTGTTTTGGTGTTTTAGATTTGGTTACCAAAGTCCTAGGATCACAAAAGCAGTGAAATATTTGAATTACACTGTATATAAATGTGTTATTCATGTCTAAAATGAAAAACATTAAATTCAAAAAAAAAATTCTCTACTTTCACCACAGCAGGGACTGAGATACATCAGGACTGAATAATGTCTTCATATTACATACCAAGGTTCATGTGATGTGTACAAATACAAATTGAGCATTCAACCTTTTTTTTTCAACCAACAATTTATTATAAATATGTTTTTTTCAACCAACTATTTATATAAATATAAGAAACTGGAAAATCTCACTATTTACAATATTGAACATCAGAACTTTCAACCAACTATTCATTATAAATGTCAAGACAGTGTCAAGGTCTTTGTCTGTCTTCCAAGACAGTGGGTCTGGCTGCTGTGTAGGTGGGGGTGATGGTGCATGGGCTGCTGTGTAGGTGGGGTGTACAAGTGCTATACGAGACCTCCACGAGACCTCCTTGCTGGCTGGGTTGAAGGTGATGGCTGTGGTGGAGCCTTTGTGCTGAGGTGTATCTTGACCTGGTGGCAGCCGCAGATGGAGGTGGAGGCAGCTGTAGTGATGATGGTCTGCTGGTCCTTGGTGGTGATGGCTCTGGTGAAGGCCCTTGAGCCACAGTAGATCTTGACCTGGGGGCCGGCACAGATGGATGTTGTGGCTGCTGGATAAACGCCGCCTGTGTAGGACAATAATTACAACTAATTTCATTGAAATAAAGTTCAAGTAAAATGTTGCTCAAGCACAAATAACAATGCATACATAAAAATAAATGTTGGGAGGTTGCAAAGACTTCAGGTTCTGAGGCTCTATCTTCACTGCTGCTAGCGAAAAAAATCTCTAGCGAAGTCGGCAACTGTAACGTTTTTTTTAGCCATTTTCTCTGTCTCTCTCTCTCTCTCTCTCTCCTCACAGACGTAAACTGATGGGACACACGTGGTTTATGTTTTTTTTACTTGGTGGGTAGGCCCTTAGTGATTTCTCGATGTCCATTGGTCATTTCAGACCATGATGGCTGCCGGCCGAGATTTCCTTGACGGACACACAAATCCACCAATCCCACACAGTGTAAAGTTGCTTTTTCAAGCTGCTTTGAGCGGCCATATTGGCTGCTGTGCCCTGGTTACAGTCTCACAGGAGATACCGCTGGAAAGCTACTCATTCTAATTCTTACTAGATACAACCATGGAGGATTAAAATATAACGCATGCATTTCAGCGTGTCACATTAACTATCGCGGGCCGCCAGAAACATTTCCGAGGGCCGCCATTGGCCCGCGGGCCGCACTTTGAGAACCCCTGACCTAATACAATTGCAATATATGATTGGTGAAGCATAAGTCAGTAGATGCCAGGAGGGCTTTGCTTATACTGTGGTGGTGCTACTTGAGAAAAAAACAAGACAAAACAATGTTAGCGCTGAAACGCTTGTGTCTGTAGACCTATCGGATTACGTGTCTGATAGGACCCAGCTATAAGATTATGATAATCTAACATATTTAAAAAACTACAACCGTGATACTAATTGAGCTTAAAATGTTTTTGATCACTTGGACGAAGATATCGCGCAAATCATTAAGTGACATTTAATTTTTTGTATCTTTCTTTTCAATGCTTCATACTGTGTGTTTGTAGAAGCTCAAACTGAAATATAATGTGAAATATTGCCTTTGCAGTCACAACAACCCTAACGCTCAAGTTTCAGTTGTGTTTACTCGCATCATTCATACAAGACGCGCTGGCTAGGGGGCTACAACTACAACAAAATTAACATATTGTACCGTGATTTAATTGTAATACACGTTAAAAATGATGCCGAAGTAAAAACATACTGATACCAGTTAGTAAAAACCATGAATTCATGCTTTGACAAGTCTGCAGACAAGACGGCAGGCGAAAAACCTTTTAAAATGCGTGTTTTCTGAATGGAGATCGGATCGATCAGGATAAACTAACCTGTATCTGCTCTGTCCACACTCACAACAACGGCCTACAGACATAAATAAACCAGCGACTGTATTCGCCATGGCACAGACAGTCTGTGGTTTGTACTTCTTTAACTTTTGTCTAGTTTCTGAACAGATATGAGGAGCTGTGAGCTCTGACTGCTAACAGCTAACGGCTGATGTTTTGGTTTTGTGGTTCAACTTCAGTGACGGCAGGCTGAAATCCTCACGGTTAATAATTGGCGACCGCGAGATCGCGTCACCCGAATTTGACGCTGGAGTTGAAAAAATGTAACTTGAGCGTTTGTCACGGCCCCCTTCAATCGCGCCGCGGCATTCGCATCAACCGCTTCATGCGCGCCGTCGGAGCAAATTCGCGTCTGTCCGCGTCCAAAAAACGCATTGTGTCCGGTGTGAATGCAGCATTAGAGTTAAACGCTCCGCTCTTTATTTCTATGACAACAGTGCCAAAGGTGCTATGGTGACCATCCTTATTGCTTACGATTGAAGACTTGTATCAGATCTCCACGGCATATGGCTTCACAGAGCCCTTTATTCTCACAGCCAGCTGCAGAACACTAGCTCCCAAGGGAGTGTGTGTGTGTGTGTGTGTGTGTGTGTGTGTGTGTGTGTGTGTGTGTGTGTGTGTGTGTGTGTGTGTGTGGTGTGTGTGTTGTGTGGTGTGTGTGTGTGTGTGTGTGTGTGTGTGTGTGTGGTGTGTGTGTGTGGTGTGTGTGTGTGTGTGTGTGTGTGTGTGTGTGGTGTGTGTGTGTTGTGTGTGTGTGTGTGTGTGTGTGTGTGTGTGTGTGTGTGTGTGTGTGTGTGTGTGTGTGTGTGTGTGTGTTCAAGTGTGTAATTGCGATTAAATGCATCCATTTAGGTGAGCCAGGTGTCTAGGTGGACTAACTCATGAGGACAGAGTAGGATGCAATATATAACTATCCCGTCTCATTTTTCCTTCTCTTTCTCCAGGCAAGCCAATACAATATCTTAAAAGAGATACAAAGAAACTCCTTTCTGCACTAAGCAATCTTTTTTTGTCTGCTCTTGAAATTATATTTATGCAGGTTCTGATTTGCTTCAAAAAACGTTTTCCGTCCTTATCAATTTAACCTGGTTTCAGCCATTACAGACATTGCTGTAGTTTCTCACCTTGTTTGCATTGCTTGGTAAAACAATTCAAATAGCATGTAGGACGATTGAGCGAAGCATGTCCTTTGCGCTACTCTGATCAAATAAGTAATGCAAATTAAAATCTCAGTAATCTCACATGACCTGGAAATTACACTGTGTTGTGTGAGTGTCACAGAAATGTAATACATTCCAATACTTAAAGGGGGCATATCAAGCTCATTTCTGGATGCAAACTAGGGCTTCTACTAGCACATGGTGACATGCTTTAATGTTCAAAAGCCACATACATTTACTTCTCACACTGTCATTCTGATACCTGTATTTACCCTCTGTCTGAAATGCTACGTTTTAATGAGCCTGCATGTGACATAAGCAGGGGAGACAAATGTTAAATGCTTGTAGAATCCTGTTTTCTAATCTAGGCAGCCCACACAAACTGTGAAACAAGACAACCTAGTCTTATTCACAGTCTGTGGGTTGGTAGGCACTCGAGAAACACAAATCTACAGTATGTGCAAGTGTGATTGTTCTTTGTCAGAGGGAATATCATTACAGAAACCAAATGAGATGCACACCCACATTTCCCAACATGCCCATGACCTCCCTTTGCCGAGAAATTCACTTGAGTTCTTCTTCATCCTCCATGTGACATAATCCGTTTCCATGTCTTCGATTTAATTTGATTATCCTCTCATCACACACACACGAAAGTCCCTCTGATGTGTCAAGTTAAATACTGACAGCTTTCGTCCCTCTTATGAACAAAATAATTAACCCTTGTGTTGCCTGGTTGCACCGAGATGCTGTTGCTATTTTTGTTCAAGGAATTGTTTCATTGTCCTGTGAGATAATTCGGTTTCGGGTCAAATGTATAGAAGTATGTGGACATACAAGGTTTTCAGATAATTACAAACACGGCTTGCCTTATTGAAGAGTTCCTGACACCATTTCCTTTCATAAAACCAATCACGGGGTCTTATGGAAATGGTATTACTGTGTCTATGTTACTTTGGTATTCAGAAAGGTGCATTTTGAATCAGGTGAACGAGATCTAGAGCATGTAATTGGTTGTTGTTGACCTCGTACTGGATGTTGCGGTGGGGAAAATGAAAGATCAGGTGTAAAATGTTCTATATTTCACGGCCAGGAAGGGCAGCTGGAATTACAATTACAGTTTGATCGGAGAGAGCTCGCAAATGTTATATTGTCCATGCACATTGTCTAGTTGCCAAGCCTAGTGTGATTTTATTTAGTAATAAAAGCTGTAGTGTCAATGTTAATGTTTGCTGACGTTTGATGATCTGTGTCCTGCTTTAGGCAAATTGGTTCCCTTCCCTCCACAGAATTGCAATGTGTACACTTTTTCATGTCTGTTCTGTTTTGTCGGTCTGCTTTCACTCTTCGTATTATTTCACATGCCTTATGTCTAAAGCTGTTCCTTCTCCTGTCCCTTTTTCCTACAGTGTGGCAAAGGAGCAGAGAACTTTGACAAGTTCTTCACACGCACCCAGCCCCAGCTCACACCTCCAGATGAGCTGGTCATCGCCAACATCGACCAGGCCGAGTTTTCTGGGTTCTCTTTCATCAACCCGCAGTTTGTGCAACCGGTGGTCATTAACAGCATATGAGAAGGAAGGGGAGACCTCCCTGAAGAACTTCCATGCTCACTGCCACCTACTTAAAGCAACTGCCAATATACCGTCTGACCACAACTTGATCAAGGCCCTCTGTAATCCTTTATGTATTACTTTTATTTTAAGCATCACTCTGGGGCATGCATTTTTTGTTCTCTACAATGTATATGCCAGTATAGATTAGATTGGTTCTGAGCCATCAAAATAATGTATTTACTTCAGGTTAGTGATGAGCATGTACTGTAGACAAGGGGGTCTTTCTCTACAGCTGCAATCTGTATTGAAGGTTACCCAATCAGGAGACAGAAGAGTGTCTGGCTTAATTTATCTCTGCCAGTATATGATGACATTTAAAGATGAAATTAGACGTGGGTTAAAATAGGATTAGATGGCATTTAAGGCATGGATTCTTTACTGGACTTATTCTGGAAAAGGTTAGATGCTTACAAACATCAATAGATAACATTATGGTCTACAGATCTAGTTGCTTGGTCACGATTTACTTCCATAAGGATAACTATCACAATATAGATACAATGTAATGACCCGAAATACACTCACATGGGGCAGTGCAGACACTATAGCCAAATATGAAGGACAGGTGGAGCAGGCGTTGAAACAGCTCCTCGAGATTCAATGTTTCCTGTATCGTGTTTACAGTTTTCTTCCCTTTTGATTTCCTTGTGATAGTATACATTTATATTTGACTACAATTAGATTTTTAGTGTGCGTAGCAAAGAATCCACTAAAGAATGAACAGTTGCGTAATTAGATAATATGCAGCCTGTAAAATAATCAATTATGTCAGACACATAGGTATGAAAGTGTGACAGGCTTTGTTTTCATTCTTAATCTTCTTAGCTTAACCTCATTTTACCTGCTTTTTAAAATGACTAATGAATCGTTTTGCCCTGACCGTAGCTGCAAATTGTATACTTGCATTGTCAATAATTCTGTGGACACTATGTGGACAGACAATAATCTGGTTAGTTTGCGGGTAGCGGTAGAAAGTTAATATACCTTGGGTAAAAAAACCTGAAACGTTTACAGTTTGTCAAGATTTAACACAGTGTTAACCACTGTCTCTATCCCATATCTACAAAGCCCCCCCCCCCATTGGTCTTAAATGTCCCAACATTTTGCTAAACTGTTATTTGTTTGTAGAACATAACATATCATTGTGTGCTACCCATCTAATGTTATATCGCATACAGTCTCATGCTTCCAAGCATAGATAAAACACATGGTTAGTTTTCGATACAGAAGATGCAAATCTATTGGAGCATTTCCTCTGACACTGCTTTGTCGTCCTAAGAACAGACACAATCTTCATTTGGAGATTGTCAGCATAATCGTGTTTAGATAAATCCATTTGTTGCATCCCTTTTATTATCATTTATGTATTCAAAAATGTAATGTACTTTACTCTCCTCTTCTTTTGTGGTCTCAGACATATTTTCCCATTAGATCAGATTACAATCTGTATAGTATCATTGCATAACCCCTTTGTAAATAATCATTAGTTATTCAAAAGAGTATAGAGAGTTACAATTTTTTATACCAACACCCGAATGTGCTTTTATTACATTAATTATATATACCAATATTTGTATATCTAAAGAAAAAGTAACCCAGTACAGATCAACTTTGTAACAGCTGGATGTCTTTAAAAGAGTCCAGATTTAACAAGTTGTGTAATAGATCGGTTCTACTTGTTTTTTCCAGATTAATCAAAACGTTAATTTTATTTATTCATATTCAATGGTTTCGACTGCAGATTGTCTGTTTGTTGGAAGCGTGTCTGGCCGTTGACTGTCCTTCTGTATCTGCATGCTCTTAGTAGGCATTATTCACGCACGTTATCCGCTAGACGCATGCTACGAAGTATAAAACATCTACGAGTTACAGAACAACCCCAAAGTAATGCTCCACTCAAAACCTTTAGAGGTAAGAGTCTCCAACTGAACTCTCAAAAGATTGCAAACAGTTAAACCTATGGGAGGTGAATCGTTAATACACAAAAGATAGATTTTAGGTGAAGTAACACTGGTTGCAAAGCTACAGATTGGCAAATGTGGTCAATACAAAAGCCACAGTCAGGTACCTTAAGAGTGCTGATCTTAGACCAGCCAGAATTATGAACAGGTGATTGCCGTAGTTTGTAACTTCACGCGTCAAGTTTAAATAACACATTCTTGCAACATTTACAGTGATTTTGCCAAAAATAATACAGATCTCCAGTGAAGAGGGAGTCAACATTTATTAAAGATTATCAATCTCCGTAAATAGATACTAATACTAAAATCTATTTTTAAATGACTTTCCTAAAACATAGTCCTTGATTCTAGATATGTGTTTTTTTCTGTGGAAGCTTGATGTATGTTCATTTGTATGGCCCCTGTTCCTTTTTGCCTTTACCTTTCTTAAGGCGATGTGGCATCCAGATCTGGGCGAGTTCTGAGTCAGACTCACTGCTCGTTGCTAATTCTGTGAATCCACTCGTTTTATGTAATAATCTTAATGTTGTGTTGATGTCACTTTAATTTTGCTTTTAATGTTTGTTGTTGCTGTCAGTGTTGTCAATTTTATTTCTCTAGCTTCTGCTCAGACATTCAGGAATGTTTCAAAGGATATATCCCATTATAAAACTCATATCTAAATGCGATAGATAGGAAGCGTTTGTAATAGTGTATCCATGTTTTTCTAAGAGTTGTGCTCTCCTACCTTGTTTCCTTTTTTGCATGTGCCAAACCTGGAAAATGCCAGAACCCGACAATAGCAGCGTTGCACTAGCTGTAGTCACATGGATGACTTCTTCTTTGTGGCAGCTTCTCCCTGTTTGGGCTGAGACCTGCCTAAAGCCACCTGCTGTACACTCTGTTGGCCACACATCATATAGCATGCTGCCATGAGTGCACATTGTGTCAGTACGCTTTACAATGCCAGTCAGTTTGATAAAGGACTCCTCATACACGCTAGTAGATTTGACTTCCTCTCTAGCCTTGGGCAGAATTGTGTCCGGAAAACATTTAATTTAACATCTGCCGTGAATTTCACAAGTGTGAGAGAAAATATACCTTGTACATACAGACACATCCTTGTCTAACTTGAACCTCTATGTGCTCACTTAATAGACCCATCCCTTTAATAGAATCTCTGATTACTTGCTTCCCAAACTTCATTGTGTAATGTATTAAAAAGTCACAGTCAGTGTGGGCATGAAACAAAGACTACTTACTCTCCCCGTGTGTGCCTTTCCCGACTTCAACAGATATACCGCACATCATCTTCATCATCCTGAACTCTCTACTGTTTACTCCATACCTTTACTCCACTTGCTGTATTTTTAAGAAGCCTTGTTAATTTGCTCGGTCTTTACCTTGTGTTATGCCATGTAAGTGTTTCAGCACATCTCCCAGATGAATCAATGTGAATAAGTCAAAAAGAGGGGAAAAAACATTGCACGCTTGGTTTACATAAATGTTCCATGATCTGGTCTGTAAATCTGAATTTGAAGCACATTTGTTTTGACTGACGCCAACAACTTTACAGCCATAAAAAAAACTACAACTTGACTTCTCCTCCTGTGTCTGCCTGCTTTACCTTTACCTCCCTGTGCCTATTAATGACTGAATTATGTAGTGACTTCATTCATATGTATCGACAATATCAAAGGTTGATCATGGGGAGCGATGGAACAATGAACAGGTGATTGACGGGGATTAGATCAATTAGCGAAAGATAAGATGGTGATGGCTTGTTTGAAGGATGACCCCTGTGCCTCGTCCTATATGAACCGACCCCCCCATGTATTTTCTTGTACGCCCTCTTTCTCTCTACTTGTTGCTCCTTCCACAGTGCCTGGGCCAAGTCAACCCGTCACATTATCGACAGTGCTCCTCCTTTCACCCTTTAAATCCCTTCAGGTCAGGAAAGTAGTCGCTTTTTCTCGTTCTATTCACTCTAAATCACCATTTCTGCGCTCTACTGGGAAAGGAGATAGCCAAATGTATTTCACTTTGTTTACAATGTATTAGATGTCCTCACCTTTTTGTTTTTATTTTAATTAATAAGGATTAACTTTCTAATGTAAAGGTTTTAAGAGAGAGGGATTTTTTTATCTTGAATTGGCATTTCTTACTATTCTCCTTTTCGGTACATGTTTCCTTCAAATGTCTTTATTTGTTGTTGTAGTTTGTCATTGCTCCATTGTCTCCTGTTTGCTGTGTAATCAGAGAGTTGAGGTGAGCTTTCATCGTTTTGGATTTACAGAGGATCAGTGATGTGCAGGAATGCCTTTTCCCTTAGCCCATACAGTAACATGGCCTCTAATTCTCCCGTCGTGCTTCATTAGGTATCTCAGCACCCCTGTCTTTGTACATAATTGACTTACAGTAGATACATAGACTGTAAAAGAAAGAATATATTGTATTTTGCAAATGGTGTATGTTTGTTTCCTTCCCTGTCAGCCTGAAACCTTTAAAACTGAGTCTGAGCTTCTTACCTTGTAACTAAATGTGTCATTTGTACCTAATGTATGATAATGCAAATAAAAATAAAAGGAAAATTAATGTATGTATTTACCTTTTTACCACATTGTTGTATTAATCTTATATTTAGCAAAAGTTTGATTTCATTATACAGTAGATCAGCCATTGCACTAGCAAAGTATTGCTATTAAAGGTGGGGTAGGTAAGTTTGAGAAACCGGCTCGAAATACACTTTTTGTTATATTCAATGGAATGCTCTTAACATCCCGATAGCAATGAATATCTTAAGTGCTTTCACAAAAAATCCATAAAATAATGTCATCTGTGGAAGCCGTAGTACTGTAATCATTTTAGCCGGCCCGGCTAAAATAACTGGATGGCCTGCCTGTCAGCCTTCGACCTGGTCCGTGTACTTTTTGTCAGTTTGATTTTTCGTTTAAACCAAAAGCCAAAAAACGGAAATACCAGCCTTTTTTCGTTTTTGATTTCAAATGGAAAAACGGAAAACCAAAGCCATTTTCCCGTCTGTGTTGTCTGAATCAAAAGACGGATAACGAGAAAACCTAATGGTCCTAATGGTAATAAGTGCGTACGCACCAAGTGTGGTATAGATATATAGATATAGCATATTTGATGCAGTCTTTCTGAACATTTTTAAAATACAATACTGCAAATGAGGAATATTTGTAATGTTCTGCACACATTTGAAAACATGTGGCAGCTTTATTAATACAGCAGTTGAAAAGATTTGTGGAAGGATACATTCTTCATGGGCTTCAATGGCTCTCTAGATAAAGGGCGTGGTTGCTTGTATTATCCTCAGATAGGGGTTTGTTTAAATAACTAGTGACATTTTAATAAATATTGCAAAAAAGGTCTCCAAAAAAGGCATATATCCTTAGCCAGTGTGTATTTTTTCAAGCACCAAAAGATTCATAGTTTATAAAGTACAATTCTGGGCCATTGATTGTGTCATTTCTCCAAACACATACAGTAGAAATGCCTGTTTTGAAGCATTAAAATGGTGCAGGACTTTACATTGGGTTATACTTAAAGACAGGACTATTCAGTTAAGAGAAGAGAAAAAAGGAAAGAAAACTGTTATAATGGGTGATGTAACATGAATGACAGACATAATATGAGGTCCTTGGCACACATTGTGTGATCATGGGGCATCACCCTTACAGCATCAGGACAATATCATATGGACACTGGAAGTGTGCTGGAGGCGTTGACTAGGACTGATGGAAGGATGAGGCTGATGAGACTGAAGAATCTGCGAGGAACGAATTAGCGGCTGAGAAATAGTTATATATTAAAAGACACCAGCATCATAAGAGGCCAAACAGAGTGTGTCAGTGTGCTGAAGGATATTTGTGACCAGCTATCCAGGGCAGACTCTAAAGAAGTTCCAAGGTGTAAAAATGCTGCTGCCGGAGTACTGACTGAAAGTATTGCTGATATCATGTCTGTCATCCTCTTAAAATACTCTGTCCAACAATATCAGTCTCAGGAAGAAATGTTTTTTAACGCTTATTAAAAGAAAAACATGCATTCTTGTAGTCGGGAGGGGACATTGACAGAGGATTACTGGAAAAGTACACAGTAAGTACTTCATAGTACTTGTGGGGGTAGTTTCAGTAGTACTGAGTCCAACAGGATCAATCTCACGAAGCATTAATGGCAATAAAAATAATTCCCTCATCAAACTTAGCAGAAGTGGCTTGATGTTGTTCTCAGCAGGGGACTTTGACAGAGGATTTCTCAAAAAGTACACAGTAAAATTACTTCAATGTATTGTTAGTAGTAGGCTAACTAATACAAAGTCAAACAGTATCAATTTCATTCAGTGTTATAGCAGAATGTTTAATACAGCGTATTTCTGATATTCATTAAAGATCACATGGCATTCCATATGATGTGTGTTATTGAGTTGGGTCACACACAGTTAGAGAGACAATGGTCGTTCTGAATTATCAATAGATGTATTTTAAGTGAGCTGACACCGAGGTTAGAGGAAGTTCAGAGAAGGCCTCAGGTTATAAAAAACAGTTCACCTTTTTGTTTGTTAACTACTAAAGATGTCAACGATGAGGTTTAAACATATACAAGTATAGCTTTCAGAGAGATAAACATGTGGCATTTGTGTGGTAGGCTGCATGATAAAATGTGTGCGCGTTAAACATGCTTAGGGAAAAAGTGTGTGTGTTCATTACAGTGGCTATATATGCTGTACAGGGGCGGATCTACGGGGGGGCAGCTGCCCCCCCCCCACTGTAGAGCCTTGCCCCCCCAGCTGCCCCCCTAACTTTTATTTCCCTAAAACTGTACTAAAACAAACCTACACTATTTCCACAAGCTTCTCAAGCAACAAAACAAGCATTACATTAGTTAAAATTGAATCATTTTAAATATCATTTTAGGCCCGTTAAAAACGCAGCTACGGCCCTGCATTAAACTGCGGAGCGGCGTTCACACAGACCGCGGCTCACACCGCTGCAGAGAGGGAGCGAGCTGTCCCAGCACCTATGGATCAGCTTCCCCTGGGAGCATTTCCCTTTCCACTAGTTTTGTTTTACTAAGGACGAGAGCTTGAAACTAAATATTAATAAAACGCTGCCGTTTGAATCGATAGCGATAAACAGACGGGTGCTGTTTGGGGCGTTACGTTACAAAATACTACGCAGACAGCGTTAGCTGGGAGATCGATCACTTTGCTAAACTACGCGGTAGCCTACTATTAAATCCACGTAAACTACACATCACAGCCATGAGGCCAGATCAATGAAACCAGGATACATCCTTTACCGTAAAAACTGGATCCAAACACAGCTGCCTTTGTGCGCTTGATCAATACTTTCTGATGTTATATGATATGCTACATATTAGCTAGGCTACATGGCCCTAACGTGTAAAGTTATACAAGCATTTGTACCAGTGCTTTTCACAAGTAGACTCTTGCAGGCCAGAGTATAGGAGTGATTCAACAATAACAAAAAGACATATGAGAAGTGATCAGGACGAACAGAAAGAGGAAAAGGAAAAGAGAGCTGAAGAGACCAGGAGGGTCAGAGCGGGAGGAAGAGGAGGAGATGAAGACATTAGTGAAGAAGAAGAAATATATGTGAGGAATAAAGATGAAGTATCAGAAAGAGGGCCAGAGGCAGGGATCAGGAGGCAGATGAAACTCCAGCTGGACCACATGGTATGTTCTTATTCTCCTTACATATTGTATTACAGCAGCTCAATCTAGCAGCTCTTAGTATTGACAAATATTGATTGAAATGTGTTGCTGCACAGGTCACCTGTAGCTCTCTGAAGAGATGGCGGTGATGTCATTTGTGTACTTAATTATAATTAAGTACTTACAGTATGCAGAATTCTGAGTATTCTCTGAATCGGGTGCCTTTTGGGTCTTTATATCTTTGAAAAATGAAACCAAAATGTTTGGTCATAACATCTGGTAGTGGACTACTTACATGTTCCCACCTCAGGCACAAAATATAAATAATTACTAGGAATTTCCTTGAAAAAATGTAACATGGTTGAAGTTTTTGACAAAAAGTAGGCATGAGACCTTGTTTAGCTAAGATATGGCACCACATGGAAGTCAAGGACATTACAAAATTGTAATATTTTGCAAAACTATTGTTTATTTTTGTAATAAACAATTATTTACTATTATTAATTCATACAACATAGTTGAAATGTTGAGCTTGTCAATCTTAATATGAAAATACAAAAACTGAAATATAGGTAAGAGAAGAAACTGACACTTTTGTGATGTAATTCCTTCAATGCAGATCACACATGGACTGATCCACACATGGACTGATCCATTATTTTAATAGGAGGGTAAATGGTATGGCGTGACGGGGTTGAAACAAACTGAGGGACAATATTGCAATTTCATAGATAATTCAAGTATTTTTTCAGAATTTATTTTTGATCAGTTAAAGTTGACAAGCATGTGATTATATTAGCAGCAACATTTTTGCGATAATTGGCCATTTTGATTTGTTTAATATTAAATTAATATGTAATAATGCTTAGTGAGGACATGCAAATATGTCTGTCTAAGACAACCAATTATTTTTAAAACAAAATATATATTTAATTTTACATTGTAATGCAAAACAACCTGTTCCATTAATTCATTGCTTTAAAATACATTTTGTAGTTTCCTTTCATTTAAAATGGTTGAGGTAAGCTTGGGGGACTCAAAGGGCACCCGATTGTTTGTCTGAACACCTTGTTTCTCTTGTACATTAAGAACACTTGTGTTAGGGCATGAATTAACAATAAATAGGTTATATACAGTGTAAAATACCACGTACTGTCCGCCCTCCTATGCCACCCTGGCATGACCTCTTGCCTCCCCTTTGCCCCCCCATGTAAAATGTTCTAGAACCGCCACTGATGCTGTATGATTGTTGCACTGTGGGGGGCATTTCCGCGATTGGCTGCTGTGGTAGCAGGTGATGTACTTCCCATTATTGTTTGTTTGTTTGTTGCAACAACTCAATAATAATTACTGATCAGCTATGTCTGTGTTTGTGTTTTATTGATTCCTCTCTGTTTCATTCTTTCCTGTTGTGTTATGCTGGAACGCCACAACAAACTAATGGTAACACTGTCTTTTTATCATTCATCAAAGATAGCAGAAAAACATGCATTATGTAGGCTACTATATGGAGGGGACCCTGACAGAGACTCACAAAGTACACAGTAAAAGTACTTCATTTCATTTCTGGTAGTGTAGCACCCATAAGGTTGAGGTTGTCTACCTGCACATGCATGTTTATACCACAAGGGGGCAGATCACCTGATGGTTCATCATTGTTTTATGCTGGAGATGAACAGAAGAAGTGTGTATGTGTGTTGTGCTTTGAGATCGTTTGAGATGCTGACATCTTGCACATGTGCCTTGTGGAAGTTAATAAATGAACGTGTTCTACACCTATAATACCCTTGCGGTCTGAGTTGTGTAACAGTAGCAGTCAAATTAGTACCGAGTCCAACAGTGTCAGTTGTATTAAGAACTTGTGGACAAAGATATTTGTATCACTCATTAGTGCGAATGCT